GGTTCAACCGCCTTCACCTGGGGTTGAACTGGTATCTTGTGATCTGACCTGTGGAGTGTTAACCACTACACTATAGATCCACAAGTCAAATATTATTGTTTTATTAATTTGTAAAAAATATAAAATTTTATATATAAGAAAATAATATTATCTTAATTTTATAATATTTATATAATCATAAATTTTATAAGTAACTTTTTATAACAATACTAATGTTAAAAATATTATAAGGGCAAAAGCAATTAGAGTAGATTTAAAATTATATTAATAATAATTAAAATTATATTTTTTTTTCAAATAAAACATTTGTTTGACTTTTTTTTTAACATTATATAATATTAGTTTAAAAACAAAAATTTGAAAATTTATTTAAAAATTAATATTTGAATAATTTTATATTGTAAAAAAAACAAATCTTTATTGTTTTTATAAAATAAAATTGAAAAAGTATATATTAATATCATAGGAAAACATATTTCTTAAATAATTGTTGGTATATATCTTTAATAAGATAATAATTTAAAATATATAAATTAAGTAATAATGCAATTTTTCAAAAAAAATGGATTTATAATTATAGATTAGTCATCAAATAATTTTGATTTGAATTTCATAGAAAATATATAGAAAAAATTGTTAAAAAAAAAAAAAGTAAATATTTAATAATCAAATAATATTTGTAAGTTAAAATAATTTATAAAAACAAATAAATAAAAATTTCTTAAAAAATAATTAATAATTTAATGAGTTTGATATAAAAAAGATATAAGTTAATAATAATTAATATTTTTAATATGATTTTGAAAATTGAAATTGAAATAAAATTATATAATGTTTAAAACATTATTAAAAATAATAGTGGAATATACTTTACTCATTAAATTTAATATAAACTTGAGAATCAAATATAGAATCAAAGAAAATTATTAGAATTCTTAATTCTTATATTTAAGTTTATAATTTATATAATATATAGAAAAAAGAATAAAAATATTTTTAAAAAAAAATTATTATAAAGGAATCTTTTAATAAATAAATAATAATAAATAAATAATAATTATAATAATAAAATTAAAATATAAGATAAGAATCAATTTTTTATAAATTTCAATCCAAACTATATATACAGTATATTGTGTTTGTGTTGCAATTAAGTTATATTTATAATTATAATCAAAAATTATTAAATTAAATTTTTATAATTTCAATTGAAATTATAATCAATATGTAATTTTTGATTAATAAAATATATTATAATATTCATCTTTATTTTATGTTATATTCTTAATACAAAAATTAATTTTAATATATATATACGTATATATATATAGTATATACAATTTATAAAGATTTTAAGATGAGATACTTGGAAATATAATTTTTTAAATAAATAAATATATATACAATATATATCTAAGAGCACACAAATTTTAAATATTAAGATAAAATGACGCACTTTCACATTACGACCTCATCCAGTAAATCCCTATGAATATCTAGCACAAGTTTTAAATGCCTTCCGTAATGTTGATCATGATTTAAACATTTAACCATCTTCGATCCATCACCGTCATTATCTCGTCTATGCTCACCATCCTGTTCAACAACACTGCAAAAGAAATTGTCTTTCCGTAATGTAGGCAAGTAAAGCTCATAAGCAGGCATATATCTATCCACAAAATCATAAACTTGCTCGTCAGTCATTCCAAGTTCCCCCCTACTAATTCTATTTCTCTCCTGTTCTAATCTCCATTGGTACACAAAATTAATGTCCTGTGCATCTATGTGAACAAACAAATCGAAAAATGGATACCATTCTTCTTCGTATCTTTTCAAATTTTCATTTATCATTTCAAGATGAGAAAGAAGATGGGACGTTAACGTGTATGATGATGATGTTTCTAGAGCTCTATTATATGCTAGTTCAAGTTGTGCTTTACTCAAATGCTTAAACCCAAGTAACCATCCCTCAAAAAGAATAATATCAAATGGTGGCTTCACTTGAATCCAACTATCCCTCTCGGCACGATCTCCTCGACCATGATTTAAGGACTTATTGTAGAAAGGAATTGTTACTTTGTTAAGATCACCAAAATCATCCATGTTAACTTCATGTTCAGGTTTATTACGAAAATAATTATAAGCTTCTTGGATCCCACACAAATCTCGCAGTGTATTGGCACCTAGCAAGATATCATGAGTACCGGGTTCTCCTCGGTATTCCAAAAGTTTATTATCAGGATTTCTCTGTGAAAGTTTTGTTTGATCATTGAAAGTAAGATAAAAATCGTCAATTGAACAATAAACAGCTGATATATTGTAAGAAGCCTTTAGATATTTCGCGATTTGACCAACTATTGTTGTTTTTCCTATTCAAAACATAAAAACGGTTGACTTATGGAAGAAAGAAAAAATGTGTTTGACGGGTTACTGACCACATCCTTGGGGTCCACTTATACCAACTATTAATGGTTTTGATACATCAACTGGAAATTTTCGCAATTTATAAAAGTTATTTAAAATAAATTGTGAAATTACGTTAACCTTTGATGTCATTATGTGGTATCAAAGTTGGGTATACACGAACTGGGCATTAAAAAATAATTATTTATTGCATTTGCACGTGAAAGTTTCGACGTGAGCTCGCAGCCACACGACGCCGCCAGAAAGCCACGGTAAGTCAACTTTGGGTGGCTTATATTTGATGTTATATAAAACAAAATTTTAAATACGATATAAAAAATATAATACGTTTCGACAAAACCAAATCAAGTCAATTTATCTGCTAGATTTATTTGAGTACTATACATTTTTTTTTAAAAAAACTAGCACGGTAATGAATAACGAGAGAAATTACTAGCCAGCCTTTCTTCGCGAATTTGATTTTGCTTTTGTGACTTCGCGGTTTTTCTTTTTACGCCACTGCTCAGTTTTTCGCATTGAGTGATTTAGAATACCCTAATTATTGAGTAAATTTGAACGCTTTGAATTATTATGGCATCGACGGATTAAAAAAAAAGGAGGATTTACCTTATTATCAAAGAAACATTGCAGTTGCCGTTCAGTGCATTGAATACCTGCTTCTGTGACTTCTTTTAACAGTTCGTCAAGCTCTATAAACTAATAAGCTTATTTAGATCGGCATTAATATTATATTTGTGCTGTAAATAAAAGTACCGGGACCATACTTCATAACAAAGAATATTGCGATGTAACTCATGATTCTCCTTAATATAATTATTTAACTGTTCGAATAAGGGTAAATCCGTTGTTGTTTCGATGTATTTTTCTTCATAATAATTTGCATACACATTACTGGCGTTATCTTCGCTCTCACTGCTATCGGTCGTTCCCTTTTCAAAGTTGTTCATCAAGTTCTCATTTGCAGCAAGATTACTGGTAGAGGTGCTAGAAGCAAGGTTCAACATGACGTCTTTAGAGCTTGGATCAGGAGCTTTGGATTCGTCTTGATTCATCTTGTTCCAAATATGAACTAATTGACGAATCATTACATCTTTTCCAGAAGGGCGGATTCCATATTTTGCAACTTCCACCTAGAAAATGAATCAATGAAATTTAATATTTGTCCAAATCGGCGGGCCTAAAATCACCAATTTTCGTTGAACTTATAAGAGACACGCCTTTAGCTCAGGCACGGTCATCCGTTGAAAATTTGGCATTTTTTTCGTCTTAATTGTTTGTTCGGCCTCCTTGCGATCGATTGACTTGATTGTTTTCGGGAGTACTTTTTCGTGTATATTATAATTTAATAGTACAGTGCTCTCTTTATGATCTTTTGTGTGACTGAACGTACCGTGGGTGCTAATATTGCTTGCAGGTGATGTTTCTGTTGAGTCAATCACAATAACATCGTTTTCTTTCGACTTTAATGACGGTGTTTTGCATAACGGAGAATATGCTAGAATTCCATCACCATTAAAATAATTATCTGGATCTTTATCATTTACAATATGCATTGGGGATATGGATTTCACCAAAAATGGCTCCTTATCAATCTTTAAATCATTAATACTTTTTCCCAGTGTCATAACAGTTAAGTGGTCGTGGTTTTCTGGTGTTCTAAGATCAATCGGCTCTCTACTATCGGATACATTACAACCTTTACTCCAACAAATGTTATTCGGTGATATCAAAGACTCATTATCGTCTAAGGTATCCTTCCGTTCAGGTGACAGGCAACTTTGAATGTCATTACTTTGAGAAGCAAACTGTCTATTTGGAATTACGGAGAGAGGGCGATATCTTTCGTGAACCTTAATTTTTTCTGTTGAAAAATTTATGTCGCTGGAACATTTTTTGTCTTTAAATTTTAACAAGTTCTCGATTTTCACGTTTCGCTCATCCAATAAACTTTGTATCTTGGAATAAAAAAACATTACATCTTTTAAATAAGTAGTTCATATCACGTCAAATTCTTTTAATGTGCGCCTCTTTTAAATATTGTACCTTGTCTTTGTGCCTTTTGATCATAATAAAGATATCTTTCTTAAAGTTTTTTTCCACCTCCGTTACCTTGAGACGGCAATCTCTCATAATTTCTAATTTTGTGGCCGATAGACTTTCATCTAATGGGTCGTCTTCTAGGTTCAATTCGTTGGGAAAATGAGATAAGCTATACTTAAAATTGAAGTATCATCAAATGGAAGTGTTAGATTATTTCAAAGAGAATCGATAAACGTTATATGTTCGTACCAGATAAAACTTTTTCATATTATTCATCAAATCATCGATGCAATTTTCCGTCGTGGTAGTTTTCTCTATCGTTTTAGTCTTGACAACTGCTTCCGCTTTATTTTCAAAAGCATCAAGACAAGTGTTTATATGCCATTCACGCACTTTAGAGCTATATATCGAGATGTCATCTCCACAAACTAAGCACAGGAAAGGCGGCTCAACGTTTTTTGAAGGGTTAAGCAACGTATCAGGTTTGAGGTTTTTTTCTTCACAATGGTCAGAGTCATCACTATCAATAACTACTATTGATTCTAGTTTGTCACAAAACTTGCTCATACTGTTAGCTAATATTTCATCCGGCTGACTTTTATTTTTGCAATGCAATCATAACTCTGACTTAAAAGTCATGAAACGCTACCGCGAAAAACGTAACGTGATTTATAATTGATTTTTATGACGTCATACGTGCAAAATATCATGTTATCGGTACACATAAAAATTAATTATACATGACTATATACAGTAACTGAGATTAATAAAATTTCTTACGTTATTGACTTTTTAAAAATTAAAATATTAAAATTTTAAATGCTAAATTTATTATAACTGCACATGATTTGTCATGTGAAAAAAAAAATTACGTAATATCGATGAAGAAAAAATTTTTTAATCATTGCACTGTCGACCTATTAAGTCAGAATGGCG